GGCGAAAGCGATCGATGTGGGGGTGTACTCTGTACCCTACCAGAAGGAGGCGGTAATGCAACTCAACAGACACTGGGCTGCTGTAAAACACCAACGAAGAAATGTGAGGGAGGAAGTAGAAGAAGAGCAGAGGTGGTTTGTCGATGAGGCCTGCTGTCCTATAGTGTCTTTACTTTCTCTCATCAATACCAACGACACAGTAATAATACGGACAACATCGGAAAATGCCTCTGCCTGTGCAAGTGTTTAACTTTCAGGTACGTCAACCTTAATATTATTGGTTAGACACCCTAAAGGTGGCGGTAGTTACAGCTTAGATCCATCTCATTCCACCATTATTGGTGCTTTGCAGCCGTTTTACACACAGATCTGTAAACAGGCTCCGTGATTTAAAATTTTTAAAAGCAAATCATAATAAAGAAAATCCCTTTTTGTGTTTCGATCGATAAGGAGAAGAGCAGGTGATCTTATAAAAGCAGCGGACATAAAGGGTCCGTTGATCAATAATTAGCATATAAACAAACAAAAGCCGTGAGAGGAAAACAAAATCGGAAGCATTTTAGCAAAGACACCGCTGAGATCAACGGAAACAGCAGGACGTTTAGCTGTGGGGCTAAAATTAGCCTCCTATTGATTCCAGAGCTGCATTTACTTTTAACTGGATCATTTTATGGCTGCTCACCATAGGACTAAGTTAATATTAGGCAATACTAGGCAGGTTCCTAGGGCCCCAGGTTCCCGGGGGCCCCACAAAACTCTGTTTACATTTATGGTTAATACAACTATTCCTTATTAATTCACATTAATTATGTTTTTCATAAAAATCCTTTCGCTAAAATTCCTTTAGAACGCTTATAATATTAAACGTGTCTCAGTCCAAGTCCAGTGGATTGTTGTTTATGTTTTGGATTGACTCTGACCTGGATGACTGAGAATCTCCACCAGCCTCACAAAGTTAAACATTCCTGTCATTTCCTGGTCAGCTGCTTGTTGCTAAATTCAGTTTTAAGGCCCTAGCCATCTACTATGACCCTGGTTCTATACAAAACTCTTTTTTTTATTTCCCAGTTTTACACTTTTTAATTGACTTAGTTTGTGAAACAAAGAGCTTTGTAAATATTAACCACCTGACTGAAGGTATGACGTTGTGTATATGGGCAATGAGTAAACAAGAAAGAGTTATGGGATGGTAATCGTATGTATCTGCTCTTCTTTTTCAGGGATCTGTGGAACCAATGCAGATTGATGCTGATCCCCAAGACGACGCACAGAATGCTCCAGATGTCAGCTACATAGTAGAGAACCCAACACTGGTATTCATCCAGCTAATTTTCTCTATGCTGCAGTGAAATTCACTTTTTGAAATGGGGGGTGGGGGGATGAAGGGACCAATAGAAGAATAATATCAAGAAGAACAAAATCATTTGTGGTTGATGAGCAAATCTGAAATAGAAGGAAAACTGGAACATAGAGGCATAAAATGTCAATCAGCGTTTTAGAAGACTAAAAAATCAAAAAGCTGACTGGAACAGCTGTAGCCAAAGGAGAATTATGGTGTTTCTAGCTTAAAGGTATTGTAGAGGATTTTCAATAAATTTTGTTGACCCGCCCTCTCCACTTTAAAAAGAAAAATGCGCGTGCGAGAGACTGTATGGACAGATGATCAGTGCTTTTTTTCTCCATTGGTCATGTAACTCCTCCTCCACTGCACAGTGCCTGCGCCATCTTTGTTATTATTGCTATCAGGTAGCTACAGTGGGACGCTATAGCAGCAAATCCCATAATGCTTTGCGAGGAGAGCTCTCTGTGCAAAGCATTCTGGGATATATCTGCCTCTTCTGAGGCCTTTCTTTTCTTCACATACACTTCGTAGACACTTTTCTCTTATGACCCTCGGCCATTTTCAAACAACCGTGGTGAGCTTCAATTAGGGCTGGGCGATATAGCAAAAAAGC